TCCAAAATAAACTGCTCTCTTTTAATCATATGTGAGAACTATAACCTCCATCAGCATGGCTGGTGTTAACCTTCAGTGACTTGTTATGACTTCTTGAACTAACATTTTCCACTGACATGAAGTGGAAAGATTATATTGAATCCATTGCTAGATCTGCTGCTAGGAAAGTTGGTTCACTGTGGCATGCTAGACAATAATCACGATAATCTATCTTACACAGTCTACCATTCGTCCATGCTTCAAATATTTTTGCCACATCTGGACTGGTACTCCTGCTATATATTTAGAGATTCTTAATAAAATCCAAAGAATCTACAATACCATTGGTCCAGACCTGTCATCTTGGCTTCAGTGAATTTCCCATTACCATAATGTAGCTTCCCTGTGCCTTTTCTATAAATACTTTTTATGGTAATTGTTCTGATGAACTTTCCTCTATGACTTTATGAATTTAAGGGTGGTACTAGATTGGCCACAAGGTCTCATCATTTTACAGTTGAAATAGCTAGACATAACTGTATGTTCTATACTAACAATTGCTTCCATCACACTTCTTGCTTATAGTACTCTTTCTACTTCTTGCTTATCCGTCAACTTTGACATTGCATTTAACTTTTTGAAGATCAATCATTATCTTGTCTTAATTCCTGTTCTTTTATTATTCTCTCTCCTTAAGAGTGTTTTTTTTTCTCCTATTCTTTAACACTCAGTAACCTTTTGTATCTTAGTGGCTTTATTGTCTTGCATGTGGTGAAATGATTAAAATAAATACACAGGAAATATATAAATAAATACGTATTAATCATTATTATATGGTTTAATATGTCATTTGTAGGACAGTTTGCAAATATATGTTAGGGGGAATTCATATTTTAGTTGTTAATGAAACTCATACATATGTCAATTATCACAATGTTAACTTACAAGAAAGTCTGGCGATTGTATAACCAATGTTAAGAATTTAATGTTGATTATTAGTTTTGGAGTTACAATTGTTTTTTGGGGTTTTTTTTAACGAAGGGGGCTATTTTTAAGAGTGGACATTTTAAACTTTTAGCTCATTAAGTAGGTTATGTCTTGATTTCCTATGTCACTCTTGCCTTCAATATGTTCTGCAAGTGTCAAATTCTCTAAACCCTCTTTCCTCATTATGTGCTCTAGAAATTTTAACAGTCTCTTTCTGATGCTAAGTCTAAGTGTCCATTTTGTTTCTATTTTCTCTAAAACTTAGCCATTGCTCACATATCCTCAACATTTTTCTATAGAACCACATTTCTGTTGCTTTGAGTCTCTTCATCTGTGATGAGATTGTCCAACCTTCACAGCCATACAGGAGAACTGATATTAAATAACAGTATAGTATTTTTTTTTTTTTTTAATGAGATTTCTCAGTTTCTTAATACTTTGCTTAGTTTTGGAAGGTATTTTTCGCTATTCTAATGCACCCTCAGATTTCAGTGTCACATTTTCCATACAATGTTAAAACATTTCCTATATATTTAAATTTTTGTACTTGCTTGATTTTGGCATCTCCAATTTGTAATGTTCCTTTTGCTGACAACCATACATTCTGTCTTCCTATATTTGATATTCTTTCTTCTTGCTTTCTTTTACTACCTTCAGTAAGAGTTCCTATTGTCTCCTTTCAGTGTCTGCTATAACACTGGGTCATCTGCATATCTTATGGTTGTAGTTGCCAATAATGAATCCTGATAGGATTTGTAATTCTCTCAAAATGGCTTCACTGTATAGTTTGAATAGGTCTGGTGAGAAATCACATATTTGTCTTAGAAATCTTTCTATTTTTGTTCATTTACTGAATTTCTTTTCTATCCATATGCAGGCAGTTTGCTACCAGTTTTTTTTGTGAGTACATGTGTTCAAGTTGACATCTCTCTTCTTTTATTTTCTTAAACGGTGAAATTAATATTAATACCAACCAGCCTGTCTCTCCTTTTTCCATCAGAGAAATACCACTCCTATAGTTGAAGCATGTTATAGTATTTTAAAAGTTAACATTATTCTGGCATTAAAAAAAGCATTTTGATTGAAAATGGCAGTTAAAACAGATTTTGTACCTGGCTGACATTTTCAGAGTTTCGGAGTTACAGAAAGGTTGTTTCTGATCATTTCATATTTATGCTCTTGGGAAAAGCATGAACTCACCTTTCCCTGCATTTACTAAAGATGCTGACAACATTTCTTGTGTGAAAACAGATTTTTTTATTTATTTGCTGCCACTGAGCTATCAGATGGTATGCATTGGCAGATTTAGTTGCTGTCCTGTCTTGCAGTGAAAAGAGTTGCTATTGATTCCAGAGGTCAGAATTTGAAAATTTTTTTTTTTTTTTTTTTTTTTTTTTTTAAACAAAGCAGGATTTGAAATGATGCCTTTCTGGACAGGCCCTCCTATTTGAAAAAATTGGCATCACACCATTTCTTTCATTAATATCTTTAAAGAAGTCTATATAGGGTGGGGAGAGGTCTGCAATTAAACCCACATATTAGTTTTTGGTTTAAAAAAAAACAAAAAAACTTACAGTAATCCAGGATTGAGAAGTGCCTTGAATCTAAGCCAATTAACTTAAGAAAGCAAATTGTCTTTGAAGTGGAAAATATTTACTGTTCCTTGTCAACCATGAAAAGAATCTGGAACCAGCTGCTGGAGAGGGCCTATTCCTCCTCTTCCAATCCCTCTTAAAATTGGCTTTGGAAACTGAGGAGAAAGAGGGTTGGGTAGAGAATTACTTGAGAGAGTGAAAAGATGGTTCTTATCCATCCGACTTCCTGCCCCCACCTCCCTAAATTTGATCCTGTAACCTTTTGCAGACTTCTACTGAAATGTATATGCTTCCCTAAGAGGGAAAAAAATTCCTGGTTCTGTCAGTTGCTGCTTGAGTTTTCAAAGTTGAATGCCATCTGTTGTTTCAACTTCAACTTTTAAGAAATTTCTTCAATGTTTTCATCTTGATCATTTTAGGGTAAAAATTGTGAGTAAAAGATATTATGGGTAAAAAAAAAAAAATCTGTCAAAGAATTTTTTTTTTTTTTTAAATTTAAAAAAAAAAAAATTAAAATAATTAACACCAAAGAATTCTTCAAGTCTCAAATAAAAAAAAATTGCTTTATTAAAATTAGATGGTGGACATTGGCTGATTGAAAACTAGTTTGAGTTGATACTGATTTATTAATATTATTCTTTCTACTTGTTTTGTCAAAATATTTGAGTCATTTTTGCAATTGTATTTTTTTTTTATCAGAATCTTTACATTGATCTGCATTTTATTTACCATTGAATAATGATTCAGATTTAACAGAACATTGAATTCTATTTTGACATCACCAGAAATGTCCACTACACTGAAATGGGTGATTGTTACTAGAAGATGGAGTGAACTCTTCTTATGATAGATGTGTGTGTGTGTGTACAACAATTTTATATATATATATATATATATATATATATATATATATATATATATATATATTTTTGTTACTTGATAACTCAAGTTGGATTCATTTCACTTAAAAGATGCTAGAAACCAGATGAACAACTGCAAATCTGTCCCCTATTCTAGGCAGAATTTCTCTTGCATTTCAAAGCACTAAAGTAAATATATGTCCTGCTGTCTCTAGTAAAGACTGGCCTATACAGGTTTTTTTTTTCTCCCCTAAATCTCATGAAAAATGCAATATCATATCTATACTTTTATGCATATGCAAAATCGATTTGAACCATCAGGCAACATTTATTAAAGTTGTGGAAATGTTATAATCTGTATTTGTAAGGCTCAAGTAATCCTTTGCTTTTCGTCGTTGTTTAATTTCCAATGTTTAATAAATATCATTATGTATGTTTCAGATAAACATTTATCCAGTAATTGTTTTGAAAACTGCAGACATTTTTCTTTTTATCCTTAAAGAGAGAAGGGCAGATTTTTGATGCCATTGCAAGTGAAAAGCAAATATTGTGGAAATGAAAATTTGTGTTTGAAAAATAAGGAAAAGAAACAAAATGTCATTTTCAGCCTATATGTGTTTCAGATTGGAACAACCAAAAAAAGAAAAGAAAAAAACTTTTTTTCTTTTCTATATTGCTGCTCCCCTTCGAATATTAATTTTACAAGATAGATATTTCTATATTGAAATGGGGGGGCAGTACTCATCTAAGTCTCACCAATAATACAGTGTTTGAAGCAATATGTATATTTCTGAAATATTTGATCTCATGTCCAAGAACAAAGGGGTAATAAAATTTATTATGTCAATATTGAAAATAAACTTAATGCAGAAATTCATTTTGCTGAGAATTAGCTGATCCATAATTTCCTCCACTGGAAGCAAATATCTTGTAATCTCTGCACCAGGTATAAAAGGAATGGAAAGATTGGTAATTTATTTGTCGATAGTTTACAGTGCATAAATAATCCTTATATGTCAGTAATTATGCATTAATTTCTGATCTATGAAAATCCCTTGTTCACTGTAAAATTGGGGAAAAACTCTTTTAATGTCTCAACTTATTAAAACAAATTTAAGATTTTAAATTTATAAAATTCAGAGGTTAAATGACAAATGTTCCTTTTTTTTTGTGTGCTAATAATATTGCGCCTAATTGTGCTAAGACTAACAAAGAGTGGGCTATAACAAATTCTTGTAGGGGTGCAAAATGTACGGATTTAACCCTTTTAAGCACAACTGAAGTGAATATTTTATGTAAATATTTGATAATGAATCTGTTAAATTCCTCGGATCAAATTGTTTGCTATCTTTTGACGAGTTAAATAACTCTGGAAATTTTGGTCCATTTATTTTGTATCAGTTAGAGTGAAAGCATGATGTTTGCTTCATAATGACATAACACAGATTATATAAAGAGTATTGACAATAACAATTGCCTAATATATGAATTTTTTTTTTTTTTTTTTAATGCAAATTTTTAAAGAAACAGGACTCAGCAATTTGATCTGACTCCTCTTTTGAATTTATTTTTCTTTTAGACCAGGTCAGATACTTCCTTTCCTTGGAACTTTCGAAGATTTGCCTTCCCTTTTATCAAAAGAAAAAATTCCTGCAAATAGCATTGATGGCATCCTTATCGATGCTGGCGTCTCATCAATGCAACTGGATACGGCTGAAAGAGGATTTTCCCTCAGTAAAGATGGATTACTTGACATGAGGATGGATGGACTTAGGTGAGAAAAGTCCAAATATTTCTTCTGCTCAAGAGAAAAAAAAATAGAAAATTTGGTTAAATATTGTCTGTGGGCCTGCTCAGTGTTTCAGAGAAGAAAATTTAATTTATATATCAGCATCTGTCATTCAACACTTTTCCTTTCATAGAAAATAATAACAGGTTTTAATATTTATCTGTATTTATTAATATAAGTAAAAACTGTTGGAAATTGTTGTCAGAATGAATAAATCTGATTTGATTGGGATTTTTTTGTTTCTTTGCCTCAAGGTGTAATTTTTTTTTTTCTCTAGAACACTTTAAAGTATATAGACCGGACAAAAAAGAAAAGATATCTGTGCCCTTGGGAAATGTGTAAATCTATTTTTCTCCCTCCCTGAGCTTAGGAGTTAAATAACAGAGCAGGTTGGGCTCCTTAATCTTGGGGAGGGCAGCCAGCCAAGAAGTATAACATGGAATTCAAACCCCTGCCAATACATCATAGGTTATCATGTAAGGCCCATTACTCCTCCAAGTCTGACAGACTTTGAGAAGGCCTTCCTCTTGTAGCAGACTGAAGAAAAAAATTGCTTATATAAAATCCATATTGCTTGTTTTGGTAGCAAATTCTTATTTTTTTTTAATTTTCTTTTTTTTGTTATTCTTTTTTTTTTTTTTTCTGTTTGAAGGCCAAAGAAATATTTCTTTTGAGAAATCTTAAAAAAAAAAAAAAAAAAAAAAAAAAAAATTTTTTGTGTAGTAAAAGAAAAAAAAGTACAGCTGTTTGGGGTACCAAATCAATCACAGTTGGTGAGACTACCATAAAACTGAACACACACAATGCACGACCACTTGACTTGCAGCATCTGCAACCCTTCTGATGTTCTCTTGCTCATTTTATCGAGTGGCTGATGCTTGGAAATTTGCATAAGCTACAAATTCAACTCGCGTTTGGATTGGCCATATTTTCTCCTATGTATTTTGCATGCAAGACACATACAAACATGTTTTGTTCCAGGAGGTAAACAGTTTTCCTTTCTATAGTTTTCTTACAGTCAGATAAGTGCCATACATGATACACAATTGGTTGATCATATCTCTTGATTCATGACTGATTAGGCAGAAGGTTGCTATTTCTTTCTGCAGTAGACTGGTTGCTAACCAAGGCTATAGAACCCAGTATGTCCTGTTATTCAACCCATAGCTGGAGGGGGAAGAACAGGTGGATACATACCTTTGGGAAAGGTATTTGCATGTGAGTGATTGAATTCAAATTCCAGTTGGGTTTGTTACAATCTCCATTGAACCACAATGCACATCCATTTTCTAACAAGCATTTTTACTAATGGTTCAACATTACAGATATATTTCCCAATGTACTTTCAGTACTATGGCCATCTTCATGGAGTAAAGTTGTTTTCAATAGGAATAAATTTTTTTTTTTTTTTCCATTATTTTGATAGTTTTAGCACCATAAAAACACATATACATTAATCATATAACTACAAGCCTCTCATGTCAACTAACATAAAAACCCATATTAATAACCAACGCTACAATAAAAAGAAGGGCACCCTGAGGTGGTGTAATGGTTAGCAAGCTTGTCTTGCTAGCACAATTACAAATAAGTAGTGAGTTCGATCCTCACTTTCAGCCTTGTGCCACATCTAAGCTATGCTTGGAAAATTGCTACAATAAAAAGAAAATCATACTCTAACCAAGATCCAAGTTATATTTGTGAAAAACAAAAATATGATTTAATAACAGAAAAATATTACCAATATTAGAAACAATAATTATAAAAAAATAAATAACCTAAATAAAGAAATTATTCAATATAAAAGCCAGTATTTTAAATAATTTTAACAAAAATAAAATTGATTTATCAGCTTCATGATATTATTTAAATATCTGACCATAAAATTCAAACTCAAAATATGATGTCACAACATGACATGATAGAACATTCAAATTACTTGGAAAAATATTGAAAAATACATTTATATTCTTGGACCATCAGCAAAAATTAGAAAACGAGCAAAAAATACTTTTCAAAAGAAATGTTTCCATATTCTTTAAAAAAAAAAAAAAAATTCTTGGTTACTGGTAGATTTTTTTGTAATTCATTAGTAGAACATGGGTAGACTGTGTGAGAAATTCCCAAATCCTATTCATGACTTTTGAGCACCTTTTGTCAAAAGCAAGTAAAATGTTCTTTTGTTGTTCACCTCAAATCCTGTCAGAGATCAGCCACAAATATGTTGAAAATGCAAACATGATGTTCAGTCAAGAGAAAGAATTTTTCATGTTTTGTATAAATCCAGAATTGTAAAGTTTTTTTTTTTTTTTTTTCCTCTTGAATATTTGTGAACATTTTGAGATCAAATTTCCTTCTGTACACAGCATTCTTGTAAAATCATTTGATCCTCATTCAATAAGAAAAAACTGTCTGATAAAATCAAAACAATTTTTACCCTTTTTTTTTTTTATTCAATTTACCTGTCTTTTTTGTGACAGTAACCATGTAAAGGGCTGACTCCCAAAGATGAGATACAACTTCAAGTCTCAATAGAGACTTAGTTTTTATTTTGAATCTGCACCTACTAGCAGTTGTGGAATGATGACTTAGGGGTGGCTATAAAAACCACAAATCATGGAAATAAGATAAAAGAAATATTGTTAAAAAAATTAATACGAATTTACTTTTTGTTTGGAAAATAATCTGAGGTCAATAAGTTCAGTTTAAAATCTCATTTTATTTACTTTTTTCAAATTTTTGTTCCGTTTTTTATTTTTTAATTGATTTTAAATAATCAATGAAGCTACAAACTGAGCAACATCTTGTAATCGAGCTGTGTTTTATTTTGAGTTACAGCAAATTAGAATTTCTGCCATGGTGGAGGAAAAGACAATTACGAATTAAACCTATTCTAATTAATTAATTATTTCAAGAAACATTTTTAAAGCAGGTTCTTTTGTAAATTATAGAGTTTAAGTGATGCTTAAAGTGACTCAAACAATTTTCTCAACCTCACTAACTTGGTTGTTTCCCTCACTCTGAAAGTCACTAATGGTTACTATTCCTCTGACACTCATTAATCTTTTACTCTATATAACTTATTTTCAAATCAAAATGATTTTGGAATTTTAAGTGTTTGTGAGTAGTAAACAAGCAGGAAAAATCTTTTGTCAAGGGAAAGAAATTGTTCTAGTTTGAGAATTAATGATTTCTTTAAGATGTTTGAAATAAGTCAAATTTGATTTGTAGTGAATTAACGCAATGACCATAGAAGAGGTGTAATTAATATTAAGGACTTAAGGGGGAAATATTATTAACAGGTGTTTGTATTACTCAAGATAAAAGTCTATGAAGCAATCATATTAAACTTAATTTGCTCTGCTCTGAATTTTTATTCTGTATATTTGCGTTTCATGTCTTTTTTTTTTTTTTTTTCCACCCACTACAGAAATAAGGATCAGCCATCAGCTGCAATGGTGATTAACACTTTGGATGAAAAAAACTTGTGTGCAGTAATCAAAAAATATGGAGAAGATAAAAATGCTCATAAAATTGCCAGAGCTATTATTGAAGCTCGAGCTGCATTTGGGAAGATTGAAAGCACCAAACATTTGGCAACTATTGTGGCAAGTGTATTTGACAGGTGAGTATATATAAACTTAATAATGAATTAACAACTAATTTTGGACTCAATTCATCAAACAGTGGCACAGAATATGCAACATTAGTAATTTTGGTTGTATTTCCAAAATTATTTTTTCTTAATAACCAGGATTCCTTTTCCTGTTATTATGAGAGGTGGAGTTTAGTTTTTCATTACTTTTTTTTTGTTACAACTTTTAGAATAAATTACCAGTGCACTGAGATAGATAAATGCTATGCTTCATTGACTATATAGTTGGCGACAAAGTCAAAAGCAATCATTCAAGTAGTGTGATGTGAAAATGAGTGGCTGTGCAAACCTTATGACGTTCTGTCCCATTCCTTCCTAATGTCTCAGAGTCAATACGATTGCCTACATCAAGATACTAGACACTGCAGTCATGTCTTGGATCAAGGATTTGACCACACATGTTCCAGCAGAATTGCTTTCTCTGGACCATATGATTCAGAAGTGGATGGATGAGAATTTTTACTATCACCTCTCCCACAACCTTCCAACTCTCCTGAATGTAATTGTTGGTTCCAATTTGTAATGGAATGACTGCAATATATTTCTCCATCCCCAACTGGATCATTATTTGTCAACATACAATCTTTATTTTCCAGTCTCGATAGTCCAAAAGCGTCTATTCAGCTTTATGGGCGATGAATCATTTTCTCACTTTGCAACCCCATTCCTACAGACCAAATGTTGCAAACCTCTCGCTACTCTATGACTATTTCCATAGAAAGTGTTTAGATGAACTACATTCCTTAGTTCCATCAGTTCTAACCTTCATGACTATAGTAAACCACCCTCATTCTTCCATTCTAACAGCTTCTACCAATGAGCCTAGTGGAACTGACTCACAAAGGATGCTTCCCCGATCACTTCAATCTTAACAGTTAACACTAGACTTGAACAGGTTATTTTCCCCTATCCCAAGTGGCTCTTGAGTCTAGTACATGGTGATCATTTTTTTTTTTAACAGTAATTCTCCAAATGCACTGATATGAAGTTGAATGTCACATGATGGCTGAAAACTTTGATCAGAATATCTGCAACCCCTTAGCATGTATACAGTAGGTCCAGAGCATTGACCATTGTCTGCATTTCACATTATTAGTCACATTTAGATTTTTCAGTGAGTTTCTCATGCTCTGGATAGAGCAGCTTGGTGGGGGGAAAATATTGCTCTTGGGGACAGTTTCAACAGGTTATGTATGCTTGGATGAGTATTACCACTGGCATCTGGAGTAGCTGCACTATAATGAGTCTCTAGGTTCAATTCTCAGTACTGGATGCACACTGCTGATGAGTCCCAAAAAGGACAAAATGGCCATCCGATGCTTTCTGCATTCTGTTGAAGATTCTTGTTCTAGACTCGATGAATTATTAAATTATAATGAGAAATAATAATAATTATATATATATATATATATATATAAAATGTCTTGAATGTTCTGTTGTTTTTACATGCTTAGTTTTTGTTATAAATTGAATGTCTTTCTGAATTTGTAGCCCCTTCAATAAGGACATGTTAGGTCGTCCAGCACATGTTGCCACAAAGACATTTCAAGCATTACGAATATTTGTGAATAATGAACTCAATCAGCTATCAAATGGACTACATGTAGCCCATCACTACCTTCGACCAGGAGGCAGATGTGTTGTTCTCACTTTCCATTCTCTGGAAGACCGAATAGTAAAGAGACATTTTCATAGTATTGATCTCAAGGCTCCCAAGAATATGTCTTTGAGTTACCAACAACTTCAGAGCACAGTCAAAACATTGGATAATGAATTACTTCAGAGCATTGTTAATAAAAAATGGACTCCCTTACAGAAAAAAGTGATAACAGCAACCCATGAAGAGATCCTCAAAAATCCACGATCAAGATCAGCAAAGTTGCGTGTAGCAACTAAGGAACGTGGTTCTGGAGAAAAAGAATAAATGCTTTTTGTAACAGGCTGTTCTCTTATCTTCTGTTGAAAGAATATTTCCAAAAAGGAACGCTAGAAATCTTTTTTAAATTTTATGATGACCTGATGACCCCAAATACCTCTACTTTCTATATCTTTCAACTTCAAGAATGATTGGTTGGTTAGTTGGCTACAAAAGGTCAAGTGGGTAAAGTTTTTTAGCATAAAAAGAAAAAATTATTTAAAGTCCTAAGTTTTCAGTTGGTCATCAAGTGTATTCTTAACATATTAATACCCAAGAGTTTTTGATCTTTTGGGAGTTTAAGTATCTTAATAATTGGAATATTAGTTTAAACAGAAAAAAAAAAAAAAAAAAAAAATATAGTGTCTTTTTTTTCCCCCTTAAGATGACAAAAAAATCTGATTGCTTGAATAATACTTTCAGGGCAGAAGTGTCACACAAATTTGTCATGTATGTTGTGGATTGGCCTCTCCAACTTTGTAATGTGTCTTCTGTTGTTTTCAAAGCCCTGAAACAACAATATCTGTAACCGATCATCTCATTTCATGTGCATGTAAAAAGTTAATACTGAAGAAGGTCACAGTGGGCAAAATGTTAATTTTAAAACATCAATCAGAATTAATTAACAAATCTTATTTTTAATTGTTGAATGCACTTGGAAGTCTTATTCCCTGACTTTACAGAATCACTAGAACTTTGGGCAGTAAATGAAAGAAAATCTTTCTCTGTGAATTGCAATGACTTCTTGGGAAAGATAGTGGAATGGTTTCCCAATTAATTCCAAACAGTGGATCAGGTAAAGTTTTCCTTCTCATGGACTAGCTACCAACCAAAGCTTGAGAATCCAGCCACCTGTGAGAGAAGATTGATGGAGCCATGCCTTTCCCAAGGGTATTTGTGTGAAAGTGAATGCAAAAGACTAGGTGGGAATTTGCTCTGCTTAATTCCATTTCCATGACGATCATGCAAACTAAACATTTGTGTCAATAAAAATATTTATATGAACATGTGTTATTTTATATGGATTTAGACTGTTTTTGTATAATAATCACTTGTCCAGGTGCTGACATTGAAAGGTTGTTTTGTTTCTGTGATTTTTATTTGAGGATTTTCAAGAAACACATAAAACAAGCTCTTGTTGTTAAAGCAGAAAATTTCTCAAATTTTTCTCTGGCTAATTTTTAGCAATCACCTGACATCATTGTAGTTTGTAAATAGTGTAAAGATTCTGACAAAGTTTTTTTTTTTTTATACCTAGGGGCAAAACAGTCTTTAGCATATCATGAACTAGAGATGAACCTAAATTTAGTTTAAGGAAATGAAAACAAACATTTACTTGTTTCTTGAAAGACTAAATATTTTAAACAAAAAGACATTTTACTTCAACTATGACAAAGAAAATGTTAAATTTTTCTTTATAAATCTCGGTATATTTAATTATGCTTCTTTTTTTAACTTCCTCAAAAAAAAACTTAAAGCAATAAAATAATATATTTTTTTTTAATTGACAGGAAAAGATTTTCCTAAGAACTGGTTTACATTTTTTTATTTTTATATATATATATATATATATATAATATATATATATATATATATATATATATATATATATAGTGGCTGTTGACTCACAAAGCAGGTATGAACATCACTAACATGTCAGTCTATCAGTTAAACTAACACCCGCCAAAACACTGCATTCGTTTGTTGTATGAGCAACAGTGGCTCATAAAGCCAGCCATCAGCCTGCATTTCTTGTTACATATATGACATGTCAAATCATCTCCAGGTGGTGAAAGTTGACTTTGAACATCATCACTTCCAATGTATCTTTTTATATGCCATGTTAGGACCGACCTGGACTTGCACACTCTAGTGCGGGGCGGGCATTCAAAGCATGCCATTATGCAACAGACTATTGGTGTTGACATGATTTCTCATGACTGATCAGACCTGCCCTGGACAGACATATGCAATTGCATTAGACACATGGCCAGGTTGGAACCTCATGGCAATTCAGGGATCCCTTCAGAGTCCCTTTCTTCAGTTCTGCATATTTTTGTGATGTCTCATGGAAGGTCTTGACAGCATCAGTAAAACCAGCTCTCCAAGAAACCTGGTCTTCAGTTATCCAGACCAATATTGCACTTGTATAGTGACTCTTTAAGGCAATATTTGTAACAAAGTTTTGGCTTGTGCTGCATTATTTTTTCCCATTTCCAATTCTCCATACATTGTTTTGGCATTCCGTCATCTGCCATATGAATAACATGGCCTATCCATCGCAATCTGTATTTGTGCATAATTGCTTCCACAGAAAGTGAATTGGCCCTTTGTAGAACAACAGTATCAGGAGTGTGAGACATCCAGTGGATTTCAAGCACAGACCAAAAGGATCATTGATGAAAATGTTCCAGTATCTTCAGATGTCTGCAATAAACTACCCATGTCTCATGTGAATATAGCAGAGATAACATAATGCAGGCATTATATATTTTAATTTTTGTCAGTTTTTTCTGACTCCAGACACAGAACTTGAGTGCTGCAAATGCATTGGAGGCCTTCTTAATCCGTAATGCTCTCTCATCCCCAAGGAAGCAGTGGTGGTTGAGGGTGCTACCAAGGTATACAAATTTGTCTAGTAGCATCAACATAAATTGATGTCTCTATATAATGAATTCCTCAGACAGGTTGATACATCACCACTGTCTTGTCAAGGCTGATGGACAGTCCAAAAGCCTTACATGACCATGATAGTTGATCCATGAACTCTTGTTTGTGCGACCCAGTCACAGTCATTGGCATAGAGAAGGTTGCACACTAAACTTTTGTCTTTGTTCCAAACCTACGCATGTTGAAAAGCTTACCATCATGGCAGTCCCCGAATGCATCAAGCAGTACAATTGCAAAGTAGATAGAGAACAGTGTAAGAGCCAGAAGATCTCCCTGCTTGATTCCATTTTTGACCTTGATGGGCATCATAAGCATACAACAAAAACTGACACAGACTTCCATACCATCATGGAAGGACCTCAGAAAAGTGTGGCGGGGATAACTGTTGTGGAGTTATTTCGCAGTGGAGGATTGTATTTGTACTGAGTCAGTCCTAAAATAGGTTCGATGTACAAAACGTTAGGAACTTGGTGTTACGCAGAGCAATCTGGTCGTGGTCACTGATACTTTCATATTCGACTGACTGGCTGGCTGACCGACTCGTTACTCTTACTACTCCTACTTATTATAGGTGGGAGAGTCTATTAACTATAGAATAGGTGTGTTCCACCATAACAATAACCCAATTTTGAGAGGATTAATTGATCATGTGAACTTTTCAGTATCTCTGTGTGTGTATGTATTTTGATGCAGGTTTGATGAAGACAGACAAGGTTACTTAACATTTCACAAATTGTAGATATTGTCCAAATGTTGGTGATAAGCCCTTTCAACTATACATATGGTCATTTTTCAAGATTTAGTGTTAGGTAGTTCTTTTATACATGATGCTGATATTCCTAGGCATGTGATTGGCCAGTGAGATATCCTGTCTTGCCTAAATATTTCATCAATTGCTGAACATAAATTTATCATTGAAAGACCTTTTGCTTTATTTTGGATTTTATTATTAGACCTTCTACTATTTGCAATCTTTGTTTTTATATTCCTTATAAATCTCAAACTTCAAATTTGTATGTGTGAGATACAAGTTCAACCCTTGCCTATCATAGCACGGTTAATAATCATATCGATCAACATGTCACTTGTCAGTTCAAGCATAACACAAATATTCAACATCTTGTTTTTTTTTAAGGTTTTTTTTTTAGAATGGTGGTTAATTAGAACTCACAACTTATGTCTGTAGTGTTAATGAAACTTGAATCAATGAAAAAAAAAAACTGCTAAATAGAAAAACAAAGTATACTTACATAGATTCACATAACTTATTTGACTGCTGAAAAAAAATGAAACCATGATGACATTAGTGATAATTAGAAAAAAAAAAAAAAGAACATTTTTTTCTTTCTTCTCTCTTGCTTTTTATTATCTTTCATCTATACAACTTTGGAATGATGTACAATAAGTTTCTGTTTTTCCATTCAAAAATCAATTTATTTCATTGATTACCAAGAATTTTTACACTCACTTTGCAGAAACTTATACCAAAACAACTGAGCCTTGAATTCAAATTCTATTCCATCCAACCATACCCCAAGGCAAAGAGAACAATTTTTCGACCATCACAAGCAGAGAATAAATTCCCAAATTGTTTTTATTTTTTTTTTTAAACTTTCATAAAAATGCTAACAGTCAACACAAAAATCATTTCATTCACTCCATAAAATCATTTGAAACAAGAAGTATTTGCTGTAAAAAAAAAAAAAAAAAAAAATTAAAAAAAAAAAAAAAAAAAAAAAAAAAATCAAGCTTCAGTTTTTAGCACAAATATCAAATTTTTTTTTTCTTGAAAAAGTAAATTATTAAAGGTGGAGAATAAACATGTCTGTTTAGCCTCACTTCCATTGATGTCAATGGGTGATTTCTCTGGCTTTTCAATGTGACTGTATAAAAAATCTTAAATCAGCAACTGATTGGTTGATTCAAATCCCATCTGATGACAAGCTTTCAACTACCTTCTCTTCATTCTGGTTGTAAATGATGTACATTTGCATAAAAATGACATTTGTCTTATTCTTATGAAGTTTGACCAAACTAGACATGGTTTATTCTACAACATTAAACAATAACAAAAAAAAAAAAAAGTCACAACCAACCAAGTGGCAAGGAAAGGAGAAAAAACTGAAACAAGAACAGATCTTTCTCACTTATAAATACGGGGGGGGGGAGGCTTTGTTCTTATTTACAAAGAAATGTTCAGACAGGCAACAGTAACAAATAAGCAGGAGACAAGTGAAATGTTCATTTTTCTATGGAAATAGATTCATTTACATAAAGTACCCCCCCTGCCAGCAAAATCACTTTTTCAATAAACTCTGAACAATCCAATAGAGGTAATTTTTCAAAAAAGTGTAAAGAATAACAAAAAAAAAAAAAGACATTATACCATGTTAAAAATAAAAAAGGTGATGGGTTGTAAAAATAATGACAATTTTTTTAGGATTTATGTCCATAAAACTAAAAAAAACACACAAAAAAAAATCTTTTGTTCATACAGTTTGCCAATATTCTTTGTCAGATCTAGAAATGTACTTTTACTTTGCAAGTAAAGTTTTTTTTCCAAATATTTAAATGAATAAAAATCTTAAATTTAAAACAGCTGTTAATATATTTTTCCTGTAGCTCATCGACATCATAAAATATAATTTTGTTGAAAGAAGCTCAATTATTAATGCATATTTAACATTTCAGAAATGTTTAAACAAACACATTTTCAGTATTAAAGAAGAAGAAAAAGGTGAGGAAATGATGTCCAGTAAACTTTAGTGCCTTAACTTTTTCATCTTGGCAAGGCAATAACTTCTCATTTTGCTACCAAACACAATTGGCCATTCTTAAAAGGACAACATTCTGCTCCATTTTCTTTTGCATCCATTCTGATTTCAGAATTACATTTCCATGCCTATTTTATCGAGATTCTTCCTGCCATTTTATAAAAAGTCTGAGTTTAAAACTTTATTTTAAAGGGCTTTGCAATTCAAAGTATACAAATGTCTTTGCGTTTTCTTTTCAGACACTTTCATCTTGGATTGTTAATATAAATTGTTGACATCATCAAAAGTTGGTATCTGCAAGTAGGCCTTGCAGTCTTTATTATGGTTTTTATTTTCTATATAGGGCACAACGGAAATACCCCCCAACATAATAGTAACACATTAGTGGTAATGGTGTTTTCATCTAGATTAAATATCTTACCATTATGTGGGAGGTATTTCTGCCATGTCCTGTATTTGTCTGCATAATCAAATCTATTTAAAATCAACCATTTATTTCTATACTAAGAATGAAATTCTATTAAAAATTCAGGTTTCATAGTCCTTACTTTTAGAGATCTTTAAGGAACGATTTTTCATTCATGCCTCTTTCTTTTTTCCACCCTTAGATGATGTGACTTGAGCATATCTGCACAGCATCCAAAAAAGTAAAAAGGATTCAATGTGAAAAATACACATGAATCTTGTTTACCCATAAAGGGGAATAGAGATTGATTGATTTCTAATAAACACACTTTTGCTGCAATTTCTTCCAAACTCCAATTAAAATTTCATGATTTCTAAATCATTTTGTACAATTATTACCAATTTCATTTTACAAGCAAATCATTTTCTATTCTACTCAGTTAAATATTGTTTTGTGAACCAGAATAAAATTTCCAACTTTGTTTTTCTTACTTGTGTTCCAATATTTAATTCACTAAATCCCTTGATGTTTTCATTTTATTGATTACTTTGGGAAAGAAAGGTGTTTTTTATTTTTTGACTCTTACAACTGAATGTTTCATATTCAAGACTTGCAGTTGATGCATTTCAAGGAGTGAGATTGAAGTTTTATTTTGTTTTTTTCTGAAAATGCTAAGCCCTTTGTCAAATTCTATTTTCAGTAAAAATCATTTAATTCCACTTTCTGGCAAGTCAGTTAAGATGTCTGAATCAGACAACAGATACCAATTGAAGAATAAGAAAAACAAACACATGCTAATCTATAATTTATCAAAGAGACTTTAGCCACAATCACATGGCCATGATGTGTGCGTGTGTGAGTAAAGAAAATATTTACTGGCAACATTTTAAATATGAAAATTTAAAACCACAAGCAAGTGACGAAAATAAAATGGATTTCTTTATAAAATGTCATTAAAATTCTCAAAATCTAAGTAAAAGGATTTGTTTATGAAAGTCAATTCAAAGAAATCTATCACTACACAGTTCCAAAAATCTTTTCAAATGTATCTTTCATGCAGTGTGTGTTTGCCTCTTAAGCAAAAAGTTTTGTGAAAGAGTTTTAGGGACTTGTATTCAATTTCACAAATTTTCTTAACCATCATCAATTATGCTAGAATCCACTTTAAATATTTCTCATTTATATTGAATTATTTTTGTCAAGAAATTTCTATTTTATGATTTTAACTTTTCTAGTGCAAAAATCTTGTTTTTGTCTTAATTAAAAAGAAAAAAAGTTCAAGAAACAATGCATAATTGTCAGATTTTCAGTTAACCTTTGTAAGAATTACCTGTAAGCTGCAACCACCTGGAATTGATATTTGGCTCAACAATAGAGTCACACCTCAAATTTCTTGTCATTATTCTCTTGAAATTAATTATGTATTGCTTGTTTGCCAATGAACATCAGTTAAGAAAAATCTTACAATAAAAAACACCAAAATATATTTTCTTTTCAAAAAAAAAAAAAAAGAAGAAAAAGACCCAAACAATTTAATTTTCATTTGTAATGTAAATGGGATTCTAAAACATTTTAGGTGTACTATAAAGGAGAATAATTTAAAGAAGTTGGTTGTTTTTTATGGCTTATCAACCCTTTGTGGGTTATTTAAAACTGAAAGATATTTTGGATTGCATGAGATCACTTACAGTATCCAGAGTCACCAACCAGAACACCATCTAAATACTGTCTGGGCTCGATACTACTAAACTCCAGTAATTGAAAAAGAATTGGTGTTTTCAACATAAGAAAAATAAATTTAATAAACATCCACACAGGTATTTGGAAATGTATGGTATTTATGAAATCCAATATATTTCAGGGGGTCAGTTGACGATCACAAGAAAAAAGGAAAAGAAGCAGGAAGTGGCAGGGTCTTTTCATTCGGACCCCCCCCAACAAAAAACACCCCCCCCCACCTCTCCATAATTATTTGGTGAGGTTTCTGGCTTGGCAGCAAGCAGATGGAGTAATGAAATGTTTTCCTTCACTATACCCTCTTTGTCACTGACAAGCAGTTGGTAACATTTCCCTACTAGAAACAGTAAAATTGGCTAATGCAGACCACACTGCATGATGCCATTATAAGAAGAAAACTTTTTGCCTGGGGAAAAGATGGCTTTTGACTTTTGGTAAGAAATTGAGATGTGCAACTCTGGGGTATTGACCTGATGTGACCCACTGCAAATCAACGCCTTTTGTTCACCAAACACCAATTCCAGCCACAGATAACATCATGACAATGCAACATTTTGACATTTGTTAAAAAAAAGAAAAAAAATTCACCAAGCAAACACAATCAATTTCTGGATCATTCAGACTCTCATACATTTTGTGCAAGACAACAGATTTGCAATTTTTTTAAAGTCACAATACAAATCTGAACGTGGGTCTATTTTGCCATAAAGGGAGATAACCCAAAGTTCAGAAACATCTTGGACGAATTGAAATGAAAGTTGAGGAATTGTGGGTGCTTTTTTTTTTTTTTTGTTAAAAAATGATGTCATCTAGAACGATAACACAAGGAACATATGAAGCATGAATTTTGTTTCTCCAATAAGAGTTGAGAAGTTGAAGAGCAGAGCAATTATCACTGTTAAATTTGTTTTTATCTCTTGTTTGCCTACAAAGAACTGTCAGGTGCAAATTTGGTTTTTAATGCTTTTCCAAAGTTGCGCATCTTTTTACCAAAGTCTTTCACGTTGCTTTTCACACCTGAATTATCAGATGTGTGTTCAAAAACTCGTGTCAAGAATAACTCTGAAAGAAAAAAAAATTAATTTCAGATAAGGAAAGGAAAACATCTTATAATTACAATACAAACAAAATGAACTGTTTACATAAAGGTTAAGTTAAATATCTTTCTTGAATCTCTATTAGTTTTAAACAGGCGAATGTCTCCAATTTTACTCTGAACATGTTTGGAAAAAAGCTTTTTATATTTAATTTTTGATTCAAAAAGAAACATTTATTACCAGCTAAAATGGCCCTTTATTCAATAAGTGCCTGATATTCATATAGTATATATATATATATATATATATATACACACACACTCCAGGCAAAGTATTAAAAACAAAAATTTGACCTCTATGACAAGTGTTTTTCTTTTGTTTTGTTATGGATTTTGTCAAAACATCATTCAAGTTGAGTTTACATAGTCAGAAGCTAATAAAATGGCGATCTCTAAAATGAGAAAATGCCCATCAAAGGGAAAGTGGAGTTTGATGTAGACAAGGAATTGGAGTGTCAAGTTTTCAAGCAAGATTATTCATCAGCTTTTTCTCTTTTTAACTTCAGTTTGGTCAAAAATTCTGAAAATGTGTTTGTTCTCCACAATTCTTCAGTCAAATGTTTCACCCCCCCACAGACTGAGGTCACCAAGCAGTTCCTTAACAGGACCAAAACTACAACTGGTTCCAACTGACACCAATTCTATCAATAAATGGGAAAATCAAAAGGATCTTATGGAGAGTGGGGATTGTCTGATCTCCTTAGAGTTGGTGTAGTTTTTTTTAAACATTTCAATCATTTCAAATACTGTGCTTATTTTGTTTGGTTCAACCTTCATATAACACTGTCGGAAGCCAACAAGCAACAACAAATGACAGCCTGTTTCTTGTTGCTTTTTTGGCATTGCAACCTACCCATATATGATTGCATACTCACCAGTGATGGAAAGTGGGCCTTGTATGACACTCCCAAGTGTGTCAGACATTGGTTGTCACCACAAGACCATCTCTACACTCAAGCAAGATCATGCTCTGTATCTGATTGAGCAGTCAACAAGTGGTGCACTATGAGTTGCTACCAACAGGCCAAACCATCACTGTGGACCTGTACTCACAACAGTTGGAATGTGTGCAACAGGCACTGAAACAGAAGGAGCTAGCATTGGTTAATCACAAGGGTGTAGCGTTCCTCCATGACAATACCTGGCCTCATGTGGTGTGTAACCAGGGATACCATATGACAATTTGGTATGGACCTTATCCCAACAGATTATCACCTCTTCCATTCCCTGGACAACCACCTTCATGGGAAATCCTTCACAAATGAAGCAGACTTGTGGTAGGCACTCAGACATCTTTGCATCGAAGACACTTGATTTTTTACCACCAGGGTATTGCACAGCTGGAGGCAAAAGGTTTTGAATGCTGATGGGGGTTACTTTGAGGATTAATGGTAAGATAAAAAAAAAAATAATTATACAGCAAATTTTAACTAAATCAAAAACAGCAAGGACTTTTTTTTGGTTACCTTGTATTTTCTATGTTTTTGTGAGTGAAAATAAATGCTGCATTTCTATAAGGAAATATTCCATTTGATAAAATGCATGGAATAGAACTGAAGAAGAAAAGCTGAAAAGTCAAGCTAATAAAATTGGCTGCAGTAAAGACAAAAACTCACCCAAAGAACCAGAAATGTCTATCAAGGAGTGCTTGAACACATCAAACATCTGGGTTTCTGTGAACCATTCAAGAAATTTACGGATGCTTTTGGAATTAACGCTTCGTATAAACTGCTCCCGCTAGTAATTAAAAAACGATTTTGGAATTTGCAATAAATTTTATTTCATTCAAAGCAGTTGAACATCAATAAATTCAATTCAATTTGACAAAAAAAAAATAAAAAGCAGTTTCAAATACAGTATAAATTTTTTAAGTCCATTTAAAAAATAACACCTTTTAACAGGTAGTGATTTGAAGCCATTACTGATAAATATTTGCTAGAATTTCTTGTTTCAAATCAGAAACCAAATGGAAATGGTGATTGTAGGAACTGGCAGTGTAATATCACATCTGAGATGATTGGTTGTTGGACTCGACTTGAAAGACAGGAATCTCAAATTCCACACACACATTCCCAAAAACAAGGAACAATTTGGCTTTGCCTTTCAGAAAGGTTGCAATATATTGTGGCAGTCAAGATAATTGCTGTTTTAAATTTTTTTTTAAAAAAGTCTAAAAACAGTAGCCCCCTTCCCTCTCTCTCTCTCTTAGGATAGGAAGCAATCATTTTATGTAAAAATGTTTGGATACAAAAAACAGAGTTTGTAAAGGAATTAATAAAAAGTTAAATATTATGATTTGAATAAAGAAAGGTTGTTGGCTCAAATATAAAACTTTCTGAACTGAAACCTGAAAAAGTTGATTCAGAAAGAGAGAATGACAATTGGCTTGAGACAAGTAATGAGGAGATGGCAATAATTCAGTGAAAAAGCACTGATTTTTAATACAACAAATACTTTTCAAGAATCTCCTTTGTCAATGCACTTAATTCAGTGGTAGATATTAAATCACATAGATAAAATATTATACAGAAAAAAACTTTAGAAAAACATCAGCCAATAACTACATGTCAGGCTACAGATTTAATTGTCCAACTTTGTGTGTACACACTCATGTATATATTTCTTTATCTGATGATGCCAGTGGTTTATTGGTGAAACATGTCAAATAGAAATTTTCCAAATTGTTTTGTGTATTTCCCATTCTGTCGGAATCTCATTCATGTTTACTCTCTCTCTCAAACACACTTTTCAGTAACACTAATAAGAGAGAAATGGTGTGCAATGTACTACAAAGTCTTCAAACAATCCTCCTCAGGTTTCAAATTTAGAGTTTTCTTTCTCCTAGACTGGTTGCCAGCTAAGCCAAGAGAACCCACTCTGCCTGGCTATTTAATTCCCAGGTCGAGGATGATGGATACATACCTTTTTTCCAAGTGCAAAGTGAACAAAAGAGAAGCAATAATAATTTGAACTGTTTGGTAATTTCACTTTCTATGATGATAATCTTTACCTTATCCATGCACACGTGTATTTAGGCAGAAGTCTTTCATTGATAAGAGTTTTATTAAAAATGACAGATTTTTTTTTCATGCCACTTTTTCCTTTTTATTTACATACAAGAGAGTATATGCTGAAGTTTAATGAATATAAATATTGTACAAATGTTTGTAATTGTGAGCGTTCAACCATACATCTGGTTATTATCTGGGAATATGTCTAGTTTTCACAAATTCAAAGTCTTTTAAACATTGTGTTAACCATTATGTATTATGGTGATGTCCTGTACGTGCCTTGCAAGTGAGATTCTTCCTTTAGCCAAATATATTGTCACTTGTTGAATATGTTCAAAATTACTTTTTCAAAGCTGAAAATTGTGCTTAGTTTTAGGTTTTTTATGGTTAGAAGCTCAAGAATTTCAAGTCTTTTTAACAATAAATGTTACATAGTCTATATGTACTGTTGACAGGTGTTCCCTAGTGGACATGTCTGTACCTAGTAATCTATGTTTATTGACAAACAAACTGCACTATGAACAGATAACAAGTTAACTTATGAGATAGTGTAGTAATTTTATGTCCAACATATGAATTTAATATTTGTACATTAGAGAGCACAGTCTCCCCAAATAGCAAGAGAATTCTTAGCTGATATTAATCCAATTTAATAAGGGAGTTTTGAGAGTTAGGATGAGATTAAAGGTTTTTAATTTTTTATTGTAGAGAACTAATTCTATATATTCGACATGTTCAATTGCGATGTGTATCTGTGTATAAATCTTTTTATTGTTTATACTATAGGTCAGAGTTTGAGGAGGTCATTGGTGAGATTGCAGTTCTAAAGGCTAAGAAAGTTGTCTTAAATCTTTCCATTTTAGGTTATTAAGCATTCCGTATATGCTGCAATTATAAATGTATTCTCATCAGAACCCATCTTGCACATTTACAAATTTACCATTTGTCTGTGCATTGAATTCCATTGTTCTGGTGCTCCTGTTGTACATCTAGAGATTCTTGACAAAATCAAAAGAATGATCTTTAATGTAATCGATCCTGACCAGGCGTCTTGACTTCAGTCATTTTCTCACCAACATGATGTGGCTTCATTCTGTCTTTTCTACAAATATTTTCATGACAACTGCTCTGACGAGCTTTTTTCTCTGGTGCCCCAACTACATGAATTTAAGTGTGCCTACTAGATTGGCAACTAGGTCCCACCCTTTTACTGTTGAGATACCTAAATGTAACTGCTACTTCTACTCGAACAGTTTCTTTTCTTGCACTTGCCGCCTGTGGAACACCCTTCCGTTTACTTGCTTCCCTGATAACTACAATCTTCAAAGATTTAGATGCAATGTCAATTGCCATCTTCTGTCTTCTTGAATCCCATTCATCTTTTGTTCTTTCCACAATCCTCCCTATCCACAGTCTTCTTTTTCACTTTCACTCCCTGTAAACCTGTACGTACTAGTGGCGTTCCCACCGTGAAATGATTAGGGGAAAAAATGTGAACCTGTTGATTAGAGGCTATCATTCTATACTAGGCTTGCTACAGGGTTAAAATGACTATTCCCTATGATAGAGGTTGGCATTTAAACCCAGGTAAGAAGCCAGCTTTTTGAATAGTGATTTTCAAGGCAAACAGCCTTCCTTACATGGAGAACGGGAATCAGGCTATTAGCAAGAAATCGAATCTTGTGTCATAGTAAGCTGAGTTTAGCACAATTTACAAATTGATATTGAATGAAAATTGTTTGATCTTTTGCTTACCTGAAATATTTTCTCCCCATCCTGCTGTGTAGTGACATGATTTCCAATATGACCCACCAGTTCCACAAAAAGACGAATAAATGCTTCAGAAATCATTAGATTCTTGGATCCATCTGAGTCTACAAAAGGAAAAAAAATCGTATTAATGTGTTTATATTTATGAAATATATGAAAAGAAAACAAATAAATTTGCTTAGAGATTTGTTGCTTAGGATTTGATAGTGACACTTTGTATTCAATCTTTATAAATATCAGTAAAAGAGTATAAAACATTGGTTCCTCATGCAAAATAATTACCAAGAGAAAAGCACTATGAGAAGAATTGAGTTTGTTTTTCTTCTGTTCATTAGCTTTCTTCCTGGGCAAACAGGGAGATTGGTTTATAATGAGTAAAGTGACAAAAAAATTAGCAGCAAATATTTGGCATTTTAAATAATCTTAATTCTCACCCACAGCATTTTTTTAAGCAGACACGAGTATAAATGAAACAGAATTTCTTGCACAATTCAATCTTGATGAATTTGTAAATTAAATATGAAGAAATAGGGTGATTTACCAAAGTCATTGCGACATATGTCTAATGCTGATTTGAGAGCTTTCTGGATTTTCTTGGGTAAAATGCTCGACTCGTCTCCAATATTTGATACAAAATGCTTCCGATCCAAATCAAGAATCACAACCTGCAATTAGAAATCAAATAAGTTTTGCTCAATTTGTAACGACAGGGTTTTTTTTTTGGGGTTTTTTTTTGTTTAATAATTTTTGTCTAAGATTTAGGATTTCTCATCATGAAAAACTGAAGGCAAGACTTAAAAAACATAACTGGTCCAAAAGCAACTAAGAAGAAATTATGAATAAATGGAAGTGGAATATGTATTACTGGATGTTGTGTAAAATTGTCAAACCATTTTATATAAAATAATTTTAAATTTAGTGAAAATTTAAAAAGGTACATGACAGAAAAATTCATTTGGTTGTTGAATGTTTGGATTATTGTTAAAAATAAAAATGTTTTTTTCAGAGAAAAGAGAATCATTTTATGAGTTAATGCAAAGTTAAAAATTGGTTCAAACAGGAATGGGGGGGTAAAATTTCAAGGAAGAAATAAAATAGGAAAGTCAGAAGAGAAATAAAATGGGTAAAAGGAGGAGAAAGAGCAAGAGAGAGTCAATGTTGCAGAGAGAGAGTGAAAGAGAGAAAATAAAGAGTGCAAAAGAAGAGAGAAAAAGGAAGGAGCAAAAGAGAGAGAAAATTAATGTCAGGAGAAAACAAAGAAGCCAAGAAAGACAAAATGAAAAAAGGCAATTTAGTGAAGTTCAGTTGATTGCTACAGAAATAGGAATGTACTTGATTTAAACATATTTGCAATCTAATGTTTTGAATTGATTACCAATTAGGAGTTGCTGAAAAGTTCTTGACTGAACTCACTTTCTAAAATCTAACCAATTTTTTTTTTTTTTTTTTTAAATAGCCTCTTTGTCAGGCCAAGAATTTTTAAAACATCCTCTCATAACAATTAGTTTTCATTTGTGAAAACGATTAACAGAAGAAGCATTTGTTAAAAAATCTCTATGGACAAAATAAGTCTACTCACTTCTTCCATTTGCATATTTTTAATTTTTGGTAAGTAAGAATAGAGAACGCCAACAATGTAGGGTGTGGGTGAACAGACAACTTCTAACATTTTTGATGGCAGCACAGGGATATAGGTGTGTTGCCACTGGAAGGGATAGAGCAATGCTACCAAAGCATGAACGGTTGAACACAATAAGCTGAAAAGAGAAAACACAAACATTTACCATTTAAACAAGTTACACAGGCCATAAGAATTGTAATGTGAAAACATGAACGTTATAATATCTACACTTTTTTGATCCTCACTCATTTATTTTGAATAAATCATATAATCAACAATTATGCGGAAAGAGCAAATTTCCTTTAACAAACAAGCAAAAAAATTATTTGTTCTGTCTGAATTTCTAGAATGAGGAGTTATCATTATTTACACAATTTACATTTGGATTATTATCCTCAGGTTTTTTGTTTTTTTTTTAAGTTTTTTTTAAAATCATTTTACCCCATGCAAGGTAATAAAGCCACTAATTTGCTAGGGGTTACAATGTATGAGGGGGGAAAAAAAGATTATTAAGGAGAGATGATAACAATTGACATTGCATTTAAATTTTTGAAGATCAAAGTTGACTAGGAAGCAAAAATCCGAAAGAAAGTTCTGCAAGCAAAGAAACTATTAGCATAGAACTTACGATTACATCTAGCCATTTCAATTGCAAAATGATGAGACTTTGCCACCAATCTACCAGGTGTTCCAAAAGTCATGCAATTATTGGCAGAAAATGTACACTTGTGAAATAGCAACCAGGGAAAATTTGCATGATATCATCTTCCATAATTTGACCAATAAAATTTCTTAATTTCATTGTCACAGATTCCATTTGGTGAATAAATATAAAATTTACAAAGTTATCAATGGTAATAAGTCTTTTGGAACATTCTGTAGTATTGCGCTTAAATTCATAAAGTCCAGGTACCATAATGTAAGGTTCATCAGAACAATTACTATGAAAGTATTTGTAGAAATGGTACAGGGAAGCTATGTTATGACAGTAACTGAAACTGAGATGCCAAGTCAGGACCAATAACATTGCAAATTCTTTGAATTTTATCAAAAATCTCTAAATAGATAGCAGAAACACCAGATCAGATAAGACAGCAATATTCAATACATGGACAAATGGTAGACTTATAAATGTGTAAGATAGATTCTGGCAAAATAAATTGTCTAGCACGACAGTGAATCAACTTTCCTTGAAGTAGACTTAGCAAATAATGCAATATAATTACTCCACTTCATGTCAGTGAAAGAATTTAGTCCAAGGTGGCAAAATAAGTCACTCACCTGAAGGTTAGCATCAGCCATACTGATGAAAGACAAAAAGGGTTTTCTCAAACGATTAAAAGAGAACAGTTTTGTTTTGGAGGCATTAAAATTAACAAACCATTCCTTGCCCTAGTTGAAGACTTTGTTGTTGTCACAAGGTTTCAACCACAGTGTACAATGATTGAAAAATAGTGTAAATTAAGAACATTTAATTTAAAAGGTACAAAATTTGATGTTTCTGTTTATAGCAGAAGAGATATCGAGATGTTGATTTTAAAATTGAGCTTAGTAAAAAAAAATAATTTGAAATGAAAATTATATTTTCAAATTTTATTTCAAAATTTAAAATCCCAAAAGCAAAAGATTTTAATCACTTGAGTGATTCTCCTAGAAAAATAAATAACTTAAAAATAATTACATACAAATAATTACAAGACTTTCTCAATAAAAAAAAAATTCCAGCTAAACTTGGAAAATGTAGGCAGAAAAAAAAAAAAAAGTCAAAATGGATTTTGTTCTACAACCCATTTTCAGTAGTAAAATATCTTTTAGACGAGATTCTTATCCATTTTACATTTAAACCAGATTTCATTGCAAATTTAAAAAAATTTTTTTTTTAAAGAAAAAAATAAAAGAATTAAAAATGTATTGCTTTTAGTTATTTGAATAAAATCAATTCCCCTGATTCACAAATCTTTATCATTTCTAGTGTATAGCAAATTTACTTCAGTAGCATTGACAAATATTTATAAATGCTTAATTTTATAATGAATTGTTCTAATTTTCTTAATTAGTTTTTCATATAATTTAATATTATCTTCTCTACTAAAACGATTCCTATATTAATGTTTTACACAATTCCAACATTTTAACTATTTTTTCTCATACAATTAACATTGTTTTATTAAAAATAATTATGGTTAGAATAACTAGATTGTGTGGGGGGGTACAAGAATAACTAAAATTGAAAAAATAAGATTATGATTATCACTAATTAGGCAAACTTCATGATTGATGTCTGTCCCTAGAAATTGAAATTCTGGACACTGTTGGATGAACATGAGAAATCAGAGATAAACAAGACACGGGGGTGAGAGAGAGAGATATCTGACAGAAACAAGACATGAAAAAGATTCAAGAGAAACATTTACCTGAGATTCCTTGCACATAAAATCACACTTCTCTCCACTAACAAAGTGGAAAATATCCAAATCAACTTTTCAACACCAAGAGTGGATAATAAACAATCCAAATTTACCTGGAAAGAGAGAAAAATAAATAAACTAAAAATGGACAAAATAGTGAAATTATGCAATATGATTTAATTAAATAATAATGTTGCATAATGTATTATTTCATCATTTTGAACTTGACAGGATAGTAATTCCTTTAGCCTAACTAAACTCTTTGCTGACCAAAAGACTCAAAAGCTACCCTGCCTTTTAAGGAAGAATACTTTCACCCATGGATCAGAGAGTAAAACGCTTGCCAGCGATTTTTGACATACAATGAAATTCTATTTAATATCTTAATTGTAACCAATTGAATTCATTATATAATTCTATTTAGTATTTTTATGCTCAATAGTTAAATGCAATTTCAAAATATTTGGCTTATTAAACACAAACTCATTAATTGGTTTCACAGTTTATAGTTCAAAGGACATCAAAATTTTATAGACTACATTTTCATTTTTAAAACTAAATATTTTTCCTTAATTTATCTTTCCACCCGAAAATTTTTTTTTGCTTAACAGTAATGCAATTTAAATTCTTTCAAAAAGGGAAGTAAATTACTTTTAACTGTAAGTTACCTCCCTTATATTCTTCATTTTTCTACCATCTTTCCGTCAAGCGACTAAGATTATTTCAAGACAACAGTATTTCTCGTTTTCGTAAAACTATAATTTAATTCTGAAGAAGAATATTTCCGAATTATTTTTACATTTTTAATTGGCATTTCCAACAAATTTTATTATTTACAAATGTTTTATTTCAAGTTATAACGTGACATTTCAAAAATTTCTTCAATAGTTTTTTTTTTTCTCCAAAGAATAAATTAAATTCTTATTTCCCAATATATTTGTTGACATCTCAAGTATAATTAATTTTAAAATTCATTGCATAAAACCAGCTGGGATTTTATATTGAGAAATTAATAACCTGAACCCTTAATTATTATTAAACATGGCTTTCAACATAGAAATCTGAACATTGTGCATTTGTCAGTTATAAAAATTCAAATGTTTGATAGCTATATATTTACAGGTAAGACTATAAAGATACTTTGTAAATAACTGTTTATGTAACCTGTCATGTCACAGGTAAGAATTATTAAAAAGACATTAAAACGTTTGTTTCCTCTAATGGTCGTATAGTGACACAGCAAATTGTCAGTATGACATCATAATTCCAATTGTCTTTTTTTTTTTAATACAAATTACATTTCAGTGCCATCTATATTGGAAAGGTTTGGGTTTTTCTTATCTCTGCACACTGGCTTTACCATTACTCTATCAATTGCCTTCTTAGTACAGAAAAAAAAACCTAAAGCTAAATATTTCAAGTTTGGGCATTAATCCATATGTTGTGCAATGAAAATCATGAAAAAGTGACTGTCACTAACAAGGTTATTAGAAATATAATGTAAAAAAAGCAAGATATTCCATTTTTTGAATAGTAGTTACCATTGAAACTAATAAAATTCTATAGACTACAGTCTACAGAATTTTATTGGCTTCAATGATTTAACTGACATCTTAAATAGACAGAGCAGTGTTTTGGATTTTTACTTGTGGTCTGTCATCTCTCATATTCAACAAAACGCTAAAAACATGTTATAGAACATGTTATTGTTGGTCCAGATGTAAACTTCTGCTAAGAACAAGACACAAGGTGAGTTTTAACTAAAACCTTTCATTTGGTACTTCTCTATTATTAAACTTTGATTGGATATCAAAAAAAATATTGTAGATCTGAGATGAAGGATATTTTATCACTTCCAACTTTTATCCAAACCCAGTTTGAAGAATGCATACTGCTTTGGGCTTTGTTCCCAATTCCTAGATTCGGAACAAATGCTGCAAATTACACTGATTAGTTGAGGATTTGCCAGATGTATGCAAAGAAAGAAAGAAAAAAATCCTGCCTCCAACCATTCTTATATTTGTAATTTTAACTTTCATTTGACCTGAAGGTTATTCGTTTTTGTTTTACACTCAACTTACTAGCTGAGAAGTCAATACCAAAAAGTGATGAATCTTCATTAAATTTTAAAAAATAAAAAAAGATTTACAATGCAATCAACCTTTCACATTTTTATTGTTATTATGCATCATCCAGATGAATTGACTTTAATTTTAAGGTCAAAGAGAATGTTCTCTATTTTGGTGAGTGAATAATGATAATAAAAAAAAAAATGCAGTCTGATATTTTGATTAGTTCTTTTGAAAAAGTTATTCACAGAAAATGGTTACAAGAATTCAAAGACTGATGATCATTCTGTATCCAAGGCTCCAGGCCAAACATGATTTGTTTTTGAAACATAAATAAATGTCCTATGAGTAAAAGGCTTTTTGAAAGTCAAACATCAACATAAATAGCAAATATTTTAGTTTAAATCTCATAAACAATAAAAAAAAAATGTAATATTTTAAAGTCATCTCAAGACATTTTAAAATGAATTTTTGTAATAATTTAATGTCAAATTTCCCATTTCAACTTATTAATAGATAAAGTCAAATAATTACAATCTTATAATCAAGAGAAAATATTAAAAAGGTAAGCAAATAATATTTATGGCAAGATTTAAAAAATGGAAGACTTAGTACACTGAAGAGAATTTTTTAAAAGTATTCATTATATATGATAATGAAGGTGTGAAAAATGGAATTAGTGAACTGAGTGCAAGTTCCAGACAAGTCAGTTCTGTTCAAAAAACTTGAAATCCTACAAAAACATAAGAATTTGTATCAATAATTTTTCTTTTTTTTCTTCCACCCATCCAAGTTCGTGTTGTGTAACACAACCTGAACTTCTCTTAAGAGATTAACAATTTATTTACCTGAGCTGTACTCAGAAACTAATGTTAATTAGTAATAAACATGGAGAAGTGATAAACTTAGCCAATAAAAATCTGTAATAAAAAAAAAAATGATTAATCTGATGTATCAGATTATTTCAAGCTTAGCATGTCAGGAGGAATTCTTATTTTACAAAACATGCAAAAAATGGTTCAAACTAATAATGCCTTGTGTTTTTTTTGTGTATGTATGTGTGTGTATATAAAATGTCAGCTCTTGGAACAAATTTAATAATCAGAAACGTTTTTAAAACAACTATAATATTCATAATGTTTGAATATGAGGAATAAATATACTAACCCCTTCCAGGCGGGAATCCATCGGCCGGCGTAGCTCTATTGTGTCGACTTCACCAATATAATTCTGAAGAAGACAACACTAATCTTAAATCAAGCAAAAATCTCTGGTGACACCTAATGTCATAATCTTACTTAATTATATTATTTTTGTTCTCATTTTAATTGTATTATTATTTTCAGAGGACATATTAACATGGTAAACAGTTTCCAATTCTTATGTTTTGTAAATTAAGTAAATATTGAATTCATTTATATTGAGATCATTGAAATTTTCTACTGAATTTTGTTATAATACAAAAGGGTCTATTTAATATGTCAACAACAAAAAAACAGGGTGTATTTAAAATCATCTCACTATGAGCAACAAAAAACAAAAAAGAAACTACTAGGGGATCCTAAATACAGATCTAACCTAACCATATATTTTCTTTAATTATCAAAGGGAAAGTGATGGTTAACAAGTTAGAGACATTTCCATCTTTTTGTAATTTTTGATGTAATTCAGTGTTGATAGATATCATTTAAAGCACCAAATATAAATATGCATTTTTACCTACCATTGTTCTTATCTGTACAGCTTTGCCTGGACTTGGCAATGGCCTTCCAAATGAAGATGCCATAAGCTCTTGCATAGCTTCTGGTGATTTCATCCGGCTTGCTTCCATTTCATTCAATAACTAAAATTAAACAAAAAAACAGACAAGAAATCAAGTTCAGATGATCTTTGAAATTGGTGAGAGCAAGAAAAAAAAATCATCATTAATTTTTAATTAACAAACTTATTAGGTTCGTTTGTAGGGAGTGACTTGTGAGGCAAAACAGTTGCCTTCAATGGGGCTTGAAATTGTGCCAGACCACAATTATCAAGAACTTTGGTCACATGACTATAGAGGTTTCATTGCTGATTTTTATAACCCAAATCTTTGTCACTTATATTTTAATTTTTATACTTGATAGAGATCAGTATCCTCTTGGTGCAATGAAACAAGACTAAGAATTAAAAAAAATAATTTCAGGGCTTTAAGCATCAATATAAATTAAAGAAAATTTGTTTTGTAATATTCAAAATTATTTCCAATAACGTCTTGTAATAAATTAATAATTACTTTGTTTCATCTCCAATTAAATCATTTTAGAATAACATCTCCATTTGAACAAAGCGAGAAAACGAAAGCACACACATTATTAATGTTCAGAGAAAAGAGATAGCCTTTTGCAATAATACAGAAGATTCAAAGTCCAAAGATGTTTGGGTTAAGAAATGAACCAAACAACACCAGTAAAACTTGTCACTTGATTTAAAAAAGTAAAAACTTTAATGTGAAATCATGTACGATTAATGTACTTACAGCATTATACATGTTAATTGCTTCTATTGGGCTGATAATACATATCACCTCAGGTAAAAGCCTTGGTCCAAATGGCTGAGAAAAAAAACAAAAAAAAATTTAAAAAAAAAAAAAAACACATTTTAATATATACAAGTGAGAAATTTTTCATTTATAATAATTTTTTTTTTAAATTGTCAATTTCCATATGGATGAACATTCACGATGGTCCCTTCCTGCTGAGGTGGACTTATCTATTTGGTCACTTATATTACTGTACAAGAACAAATTAGATTTTATGTAATGTGGAAGAGAGAACATTTTAGTACAATTCTTAGTTACTTTTAATAATTTATCAAATCTCTATAAAAATGGTCAATCTGCAATAGAAAAAGAGTTAATGTGACAGTAAATTTGATATTTAATTTAAACAATAAATCAATTTCTTTTTTCAGAATTTGTTGAAAAAGAAAAACTGACTTACCAAGGAAAGAAATAAAAGAGAAAGTTAGGTATATTTAGGACACATAATGTAGAAACCATTACATTAGAAAGAGGGCTTAAAAATATGCAATTGTTTTTTCTAAGTTTTATTTTCCTCTTTTTAAAATGCAAATTGAATTATTATTATTATTCAGCTAAAAAATATATACTGTTGAAGAAATTCATTCATTTTTTCCCAATGTTATTTGAATTCACATGCAAAATATTTTTCTTCTAGTGTTTTATGGTTTTTTGCTGAAATTTATAGAAAATTGAAATAAATGGAAAACCTGAACAAATTTATCTGACAATGAAAAAAATCCAGGGTGCAGCTTAATATTTTGGCAAGACTCAATAGTGGAACTCAAGAACTTTCCATTTTCATTTTAAGTAAGATATTTTCTCTCTTAATAAGTGTGACATTCTTTAGATTGAAGTTATTTCTGTTTATGGCTAATGCATTTGATAAATTGTTATGTAAAATGCATTAGTCATATACAGAAATAAGTTCAACCACAACTTTGATTTCAAGAAGGCCACACTTATTAAAAAAAAAAAAAAAAAAAAAAAAAAATAGATGGAAAGTTCTTGAGAGTGCTACTATTGAATCTTGTTATATATATATATATATATATATATATATATATATATATATATATATATATTAGGGAAAAGAAGTATGGCCAAGTGGAAAGTTATCATGACACATTTTGTCCTTTAGGACTTCATTGGAGTAAGTTTATGTTGATGCAACTACACATATGCACGAACAATAGAGAGATGTTGAAATTTTAAATTTAAAAATATTTTTTTTAATTTGTGTTTTGTACATATAATTCAACAGATTTTATTTACATTATTTTTCTTTTTGTTTATGTTTCCAGCATTTTTGTTATTAAATTATGCCACATGATGGTGAAACGTAAAAACCTGGATGAAAACTTACTATGGATCTAGTGATTAAATCACTTTCTAAACAGTTTCACCATAGTAAATTGTTTTCTCTTTTAATTGAAATAACATTATTTAAATCAAAATTGTGGTCAGTTTCATTACAGTGAACTACTAATGCATTTAATGTGTTGTTTTGTAAAAGATCCTTTTTGTGTTCATATAATCTCTTATTTAAATGCCTTGAGGTTTCCCCTATGTATTCCTTGTGACAATTATTACAGGTAATGGAGTAAATTACACCTTCAAGTTTTACCTTATCATTTAGTTTTGTATTAATTAAGTTTTTATTGTTTTAAATGTAGTTGTGACAAATTTTATGTTGAGTTTGGATAAATTCTTTTCAATTGTAGTTGTGATAGAGTTGGTGGGTAGAACAATATATTTTCATTTGTTGGGTTTTTTCAGGAAGGACAGCTTTTCTATTTTTAAATATTTTATGAGTCTTTTATTTTGCACTGAATAGGAAATAGTTAGGGTATTGGTGGAGCTTAAAAGTATTTTCAATGTATTTCTCCTCTTTGCATAAATACTGAGGGCTACAAATTCTGAGTGCTCTTAAATACAATCCAGTGATTATTCCAGATTTTATTTTGTTGTTATGATGAGAATAGAAATTTATGAGATCATTTTTATTAGTTGATTTTCAGTTGACACTAAGTTTTAAACTACTGTTAACACAGTGTAGATCTTGTAGCAGATCTTGTATTATTCACAATGTGCAACAATTTAATAACAAAAGTGATGGAAACAAAAAGAATCTAAATGAAATTGGCCCCAAAAAATTAAAAAAAGATTTTTTAGATTTAAGATTCTTAGCATCTCATTTTTGTTTGTGCACATGTGTAGTTGCATCAAAGTGAACAAAGTTAGTCCATAAGAAGTTGAAGTCCCAAAGGATGAAACATGTCACAAAATATTTTCCCACTTTGTCATACTTTTTCCCCCATTGAAACTGTACTTGGGATATATATGTGCACAAACTCACACATACTTAATTTCAAATGTTTGAAAATAAATTACAGTTTTTTTCAAGCTGAACATTACAGTTAGATAGATTTGTTTCGATATTATTCAAATATCCAAAAATTCTATATGTAATTTTTACCTTTGTTTTATTTTTTTAAGTTTTCATTAAGATGATGGCTAAATTTTTTTGATAAATTCCTAACCAAAGATAATAATTTCCATTCTGAATTTTTTGTTCACATGAATTTTCTTGAATTGTAATATTATTAACAATATGTTGTTTTTTATATTATTGAATAAACATGCATTAGTTTTTGATTCCTAACAGAAAGACATGTCATAAAAAGTAATTGATATAAACCAATAAACTTCCCTAAATTATTTAAAGCTTATCATGTTAAAATACTGGTTCTTGTCTAATCACTGAAGTTAAACAATGTTGATCTTGGTCAGTACCTAGATGAGTGATCACTTAGAAATACCAGGTGCTGAAATGTGGATGTTTAAAAGGTATGATTGATAATGGCTCAGAAAGAGAAATAAAAGAACCGAGTTCAAATTCCAGTCAAAGTTGTTGCATTCACTTCACAACAGGATGGACTGGGTCCTATAGCCTTGGTTGGCAACCAGTCTATTGCAGAAAGTAATGGTAGCCTACTGCAGGAATTCTTCTGCCAAGTCAATCACAAATTGCAAAGAGACATGATTGCGCAAACATGTCATATTTGCTCCTACCAACATGCATCAAGCCAGCACTGTAGGATAATGACCTATTTCTTCCCATGAAAAGCACCAATAGCAAGATCTGGAGAAAGCCTATGTCTAACGAAGGATCTTCACAGGCTGAGAAGATGTATTTATAAACAGGAATCCATTCTCTTTCTAACAATTCAAAGCTACACAAGAATGTTTGAAAATTCTGTGAATTCATCCCAGGCCATTTTTTTTCTTTAAAAATTCTACCAGTAAGGATTTTATGACTTTGTTTTAGACAGATTCTTATTTATTTCTTAAATATCTTGGGGTGGGGTGAAGTTATTCCACAGCTGAATTTATAACAGTAATGCTTACCCATATTCTTCGACAGTAACCATATACCCGAGCACCATCAAAATTTGTTAAAACAAAACAGTAAGTGTCACTGTTAAAAAGAAAAGAAAAAAAGCAAATAAATAAAATTTTCAAAAATCCAGCTCTTATCAATAGTCAATGTTAGAGAATACACAAAAATTGATGTGCAGCATTTCAAATCAAATGAAATGTCATGAAACAAGACTGCCTTGACTAAATTGATTTGGTTCATTAAGTTGAATAGTCTGAAAAATAAAACAATCACGTTCAGTTCAGTCATTTTGATTGCCAAGATTTGAGTCAAGATCAGTGAAACTGTAGCAGAAAAAAAACAATTTACACATAGAAGTAACAAATTAAAGCTAAATTTATACACTTATTAGAAAGCATATACATCTAACTATACACCAATTTTCATCTAGCTAAGTCACACACTCTACTCAAAACAAATTTTAAAACAAAACACAAATATACCAGACTGCTAGCTATTATCAACTTGACTCTCATTTGCCACAGATGTCTACAACTACGTTGATACGTTTTCCTTAAATAGGCATTGACATTCTCTGTCATCCTCTCTTTTCTATTATTTTCATAGCCGGTAAGATGTAGGTCATACGTGGAGAAAAGTGTCCCCCACCAGGGCACACACACCCTTTTCTCTTCACTTTTCATTACTTTTCTCTAGGACTTTTGCACAAACACATTCTCTAGTTTGAATATGAAAGAAAATATTTATTGTTTTTGTCACACACAACAATCTTCTGTTATTGTCTATGTATACTTTTTGCTAATTGTCATTTGTGTGTGTATATATATATATATATATATATATATAAGTAAAAAAAGAAAAAACAGTAAGATATATAATCCAGTGTTCTTATTGATATTTTTATAAAACAGTGCTCAATGTAAATTTACAGAACATAAATATTATAAATTAACTGATTTAAAAATATTATTATTATAATATATATATATATATATATATATATATATATACACACACACACACACAGTATAAAAAAGGAATTGAAATTGAAGCCCAGTTTCTTACCTAGTCATTCCTTCCTGAGGCTGATAAACTTCTGCATCTGGAAAGCAGAAATGTGGGATGGATAAGTTGCTGTCAACCTGAAAAAGAAAAAGCAAATATTCCCAATTTAATAAATTTATATTAACAACTTCAACTCAACTTTGGATAAAGAAAGTCCAACACCAAACAACACACTTGTTTTTGGTTTGTTGTTTTTTTTTTTTCATTAATTACATTCACCTGTTCCGGTAAATATACAATGTTTTATATAGCCTGGTTTTAATAGAATTCATTCATAAATGCAATCGGTTCAAACAGACACATGGTAATAAATTCAGAACTTTCATAAAAAACATGATTCAGGCTTCAGAGGTATGTATACAGAATTTCAATTTCATATTAATAAGCAAAAAAGAATTTAAAATTCAGCTTTAATCAAATTAGAAAATAATTCCATTTTTAAGGTTGAATGTTTTTTTCAATTTCATTAATTTACAGAAAATTATTAAAAGATACTTAATCTTTAAAATAATTTGAAAGACTTTATGATGAGCCATATTTTCAAAAGGAAATACATTTTCTCTCTCTCAGAAATAAACCAAGAGGAAAAATGATGAATGATAGCCTGACTGAGTTATAAATAAAGGCTCATTTAAAATAAACCATAGTGACTTACAGATTAAGTAATTGTTGTTAAGATTGTATATAGATGTGTTTTTCTATTCTTATTTAAAAATTTAGGAAATTTTGACAATATAAATTATTCAAAATACAAATTTTAACAGTTAATTCCAAGTGATTCAACATAATATTACTCAAAGTGAATTGTGCAATCAACAAATAAAACAATTTTCATGTCAACTTTAAATATTTCATGACAAACTTATCACCTTATGAAAATAAAACAGTTTCTGATATTACTCGATTCATCTCCTGTGCAGTGTGGGGGTCAATACATTTCTTCTGGATATGATTAAAATATACCTTTTTTTTTTCTTTTTTTACATAGTTTTATTATTTGACACCAATTAATATTTCCATTTGAAATTATGTTTCATGAATTACAGAAATTAAAATGGATTAACATTGAATTAGCCTTCGTCTCAACACCAAATAATTAACTCATTCAGATTACTTAATGATTAGACTTATGATTAAAGATAATGAATTCTGAGCTATAGTTATCAGCGTGGATTAATCTGCAGAACATAATCCTTACCAAATTAGGAACTTGTTTCTAGGGGGTTTAGAAAGGTCTCTTTTTAATGTCATAAAAAAGATATTGGTAGACTTTAATTAAAAAGCATTCTCAATCAGTCAACCGTTACAATGTCATGCAGACATTCTTTTAAATGCTATGCACCTAAGGAATATGTCTGATCTGGTTTAGTGAAAAGGAAGTTGGTTCCTGGGGTATAGTAGGGATACCATTCTTAAAGATTTGAAACATAATTACAAGAGAATGAAGATTATAAAATCAACACTTATTTGCAATGCTACTAATAAAAAAACACAATTCAAGATGCATTCAAAGTTCTACAATGAAACATGCAAATTTTTTTTATGCAAGGTTTTCAATAATTTAAGGTTGATCTACAATATCTATGCTTTTGAAAACTTCAGTTTTATCTGGAAAAAAATGTCCACAAGAATTTTCATTTAATCTAAAATTTGATCGCTATCATTCTATACAAAATCTGAAAAATGCGAGGATGAATCAAACTGTTGGCGAACAAATTTCTTAGCCAATGGAAGATGCCCAACTTTACATACATGTATAAAGAATAATTTTAAAAATTAGGAAAATGTTTTAAATTTGCACATTAGAAAAGTATCAACAAAATATTTAACATACCAAATTTAATATAAATGTTGCTGAAATTAAAAAAACTCAAACAATATTAATCACAAAATATTAAACAGCTTAAGCCAGCAGAAAGCAACAGTGACCATGAAATTTACAAATCAAGTACTTCAGAACAATTACTAGTTGAATACATAGTAGTTCAAAATTAAAGCTTTCGAGTAATGCATACTTATATATATTTTAGAAAAGGTTTTAAACATTTTATATCCAGTTTTAGAAAGAAGGCAAATCATTTTTCAATATGGCTGTCAAACTGTTTATCAAATTAGGTGATTTTTGTATATATTTTTCTAAAGTACAAGTCATATGTTACAATTTTAAAATATAAAGAAAAAGCAAGCTCAAAATGCAACACTTAACAAATATAAATCCTTCAAACTCATGAGGTTAAAGATAGTGTCACAGAACACTGATCAGTCTGTCATTATTTAATTAAATCTTTTTATTTAATTTGCAGAAAATATAATTTTTATTGCTTGTGGCCATTTTTTACTATTATTTTCTTTCAATATGGACTGGGAATAAAATAAAAATTCTTAATGAGAATTGCACTACTGTCCCTTTCATCTCAGGGAAGCCTAGTTAAGTGCATTATCAGTTGCTCTTCTTGAATGAGCTACAGCATCTTGATGGCTTGGTAGATAATCAAATCTAATCTATAAAACTCACATTCTTTTTTGGCATTCTAAATGGCAATATCATTTTCATTTATCTATTTTTTTATGTAAAGTATTAAAAAAAGAAAAAGAAAAAAAGTTGATTTGTTTAAAATAAAAATCATTAGCCATGAATTAATCAAAATAGTGCAACTGTGATACATGACTTATATAGATGTCAACATGTATATTTAGTGACATGTTTTAGTTGACCTGACCCCCAAAATCTTATCACTTGAGAATTATGCTATAATGCTGATGTATTCGTGAAGTGTGTTTGGTGTAAAATTACAATGAATATCACAAATCATCTGAAGATATTTCACCGACAATACAACAGACATTTAATAGAAATGTTACACTTGTTTTTAGACAGAGTTGTTAATACTGAGAACAATTAGTAAATGTGTATCTGCAATCAATTTTGTTAATGTTAAACTGGTTTTGTTGTAGCAACTAAAAGGAAATCAGTAATTTGCAGTGAACCAAGAAAGGAAGAAAAATGAGAGTAATAAAATCTATCAATAAATAGTTTGCACTGAAATGACAAACCGTATTTGGGGGATCATTTCTACAGAGTTTTGGTAGTTCTAGACTGTCTGTTAAGGGTCATGAGGGACCGAAAATTGTAGAGAGCTATGATTGTCCTAAAGGGAAGTGGCACATAGAAGAAAAAGAGACTGGTCAGAAAATAGAAAATTCAATTTTAAATTAAGTTTAATTTCAAAACAAAATTGTAAACAAGAAACATGGTTGACTTGAAGTTTTCTGAGTGACATGATCTGAAAAGGTTTTTAGTCAATTTGAGATTTGTAATTGTAATGCATTGTAATAATTTCCACATCTCATGACAGTTGCCATTTGAAAATCAAGAGGCTACATTTAGAATAGAATAAAAAAATTATTGAATATAACAGCAATTATTCTGAAAAGGAGTCCCACTCAATCATTTGTTTGATTTTCCAACTGGTTTATTTGTTGGCTGGTGACTAGAGAAAGATTTCCAGCTCATATACTTGAATCTCACAGACATTGTTAGTTCTTAACTACATATTAGTTTAGAAGAAATCTCAAGAAAGTTGCTTATACTATATGAGCTCAAGTAAATAAAAAATAAATATATAAAATCATAATTCATAATATTTTAGTCATTTATCAGTAGAATATAATCATTTACAAGGAATAATGAATCTTTTTGGCAATTTTCATTTCTTTTTAAACAAATGTTTCCTGCAGAATTTTATTTCTCATGCATTGATAAAAACAATTGAGAAAGTGTAATATTTTTGTCTTGTAAAGTTTCAAGAGAGAGAGAGACAGACAGACAGAGAGACGTTATACAAGTTAATCCTTGTTTACCATACCAGCTTGATTCTTTGAACATTCTTCAGCTGCACAAAAATTGCTTTAGGGATAAAATAACCATAAATCATCTCAAATTATTTCCACCCTTAATATCAATTAAGTTTCAGCTATGTGTTTTATTTACCAAACACATGTGTGAAAACAGAGAAAATAGGTGTACTAAAAAAATTGACAATTCATTCTTTAAAGAAATACTCAGAGTGTAAAATCAATTTCTAATTATTAAGAATAAAAGAATCTATATAGAGGAGAAAAAAAATAACCTTTTAAATTAAATACAGTGCAATTTAAGACCTGCTTTGACCTTTATTTGTTTCATTGGCCAAATCTCATTTTACAGTATCAAGATTACAGATTTGATACAATGTTACTATTTGAACTTTTTATGTCACAGGTTACTTTTTAGAGAAATGATAAAAAACACATTTTCAGATGCAACAGAATTTTTTCTTTGTTCTCGACCACTTGTAACCATCTATGATGGTTAAAAGTTTTGATATTCAAGAAAAAAATAGGATAATAATTAAATAAAAAATGCAAGGTTTTTATTATAACGAAATCTCAAAATTTTTGTCTATTTATTTTTCATACAAAGAGAGAAACAGTAAAAACAATGTCTAAAATAAAAACCTATCTAAAAATGTTACACTATGACAAAGGAAGAACTTCAAGTCATTATTATGATGTGCCAAGAAGATTTTCAAGAATCAAGTGAACAGTTAATAATAAAACTATAGTTTAACTGATGTGAGATTTAGAAAACTACTTGACAAATTTACAAAAAAAATAAAAAAAAATAATAATTCCATTATTTTGAATTATATAAATGCTTTATATTATCAAATATCATTCAATAGCCATAGTTATAAGGTGTGATTGTTTATCAATTGCTTGAAGGAAAATTGAAAGTGAGCAAGTAAAACAATATTTGAAAAGATCTCTCAAAGATTCTTTGTAGAATCTTCAGTAAGAAATTGGTTTTAACTTTTAGTTAACCTTAAAAGAGAATATATTTGCTAATGATTGGCTACAGCTGAATTGTAATACAATGGAGTTACAATATTGATTTCCAATACAGAAAACCCTGGAATATAATCATGTAGCAGTAATCAAGGTATGTTGTTCTTATTTTGAATATATTCATGTATTTTCTTTTAAAAATGGCCATTGGTCAATTCTCATGGTGACATTTCTCAGGATTCTAATAAAT